CCCCTGGCAGATTTTCTGTCCTCTGCGTTCCCTCAGTGTGAATGAATAGAAAACATTTACAAAGGGAACAGGGTTGAGGGTCACTACACACCTCAGCATTATATTGCCCCGCTAAAACCTTCCACGCCTTTTCTTTGTCCACTAAATCCCCAACTCACAACAGCTTTGTCAAATCCAAAAAGAGTTTGTTATCCCACTGGCCAGACTGTTAATCCCTACTGCTGCTCACCCGTATGTTTGCGGTGAATCATTCCATCTGCGCAGAAATGGGATGGCACTGCCATGAAGTCTGCCAAAGAGTTTCTATGGTAACAGAGGTCACCATAACAACCCACGTACCATCAGGTCTTGTTAATGTGTTGTCATTTTGTCATACAAAGGAATGAAACACTTAAGAAAAACATTGTACACGTTACACCCTTTGAATTCAGTTTAATACTCAATATTAGGCAATGCACTGTCAGTTGTAATGTATTGTATGAGCTTCAAGAGGGTGACAGTAAATGTGCTGCAATATGCAACGAACTGTTTTGTCTTCCAGATACAGAGGAACCAAGTTCAACGTTTCCTGGGAACAAGTGTTCAGAGGGCTAAGACTTCAGGTTCGAGGACTTAAAGCAAGGTCCAGTGTGCCACTATCTGCTCTAAATAAATGGCTTTCACATGAAAGGAGTCAACCCTTCTGACTTGCGCATGAGCATGAAAAACTCACTCCCTGTCAATTAAAGGACCAAGAAGTTCTCACTTTCTGACTGTGGTGGACCAGTGGACAATGATCCTGCTTCCTGTTTTGTGTGAAACAATACGTGCCATCGGTCCACTGGTGTTGTGAGAGCTTTTTGGAGGAGCGTCGTTTGTTGCGAAAAACGACAGAGACTCCATTACTGACAACCACACAGGTGCAACTGTGACCAAAGATGGCACAAGAGCTCAATGCACATGGTGGGTGAAAAGAATGAGGTAGACACAATAACACACACAAGAAAAAACTTCTAATCCAACTTCAACACTCGCCTTATAGTTTTTTCTTGAACCCATTGTTGTCAGGATGTAAATTGTTTGGGGGTTTTTTTCCTTCCTTTTTAAAACTTAAACACAACTAACACAAAAGCTTTTTTTCCTGTATATAAAATTATAATGTGTATAATTCTTTTAAATCGAATGGACAAGTTGCTGGTTGCGAACGCACTGAGGAGAGTGACCTTTTCAAGTGCTTTCAAAATTTACTGAAACGATTTCACTTTTAAAGATTTGAGTGTAACTTCACGGGTTCTTGTATAATTAATTACTAGAACAGGTATAATGTTTGTACATGAAAAAGCTGGTTTGATTTTAACAGAAGAAATTTCCAGAAAAAAATCTAATTTCTGTAATTCCCAAAGTGGGAATGGATCTAATCCTGCAAAAAAAAAGGAGCCTTTCAGAGTACTCATATTTTCATGCATGCTGTTCACATTATTTTAATTACAATTTTTACAGGTTTGCAAAACACTGTATTCAAATGAATCCCTTTATCACTATACACATATAGCCCTGACGTTTGTCACCGATTTTATATTTCAAATTGAAAAAGGATACCATTAAAGCTTTTATCATGTTGGGGTGAGGATGAAAAAAAAATCTCTAGCTTCTTGAGGATGTGATGTCTTGTCTGTCTGTGTAAAACTGGAGGGCAGCTTCTGCTACAGGAACGAAGTAATCAGAATGTAAATGCTAGTAGGCTGGCTCGCTGTAAAATTATACTTGTATTGTGCATATTGGCTATAAGGTTTAGGAGTCTCTGTACACTGTAAGACTGTTTGTAAACATTTAGCAGTGTTTCAGTTTGGTTTTCTAATGGCTGCTGTGGTATTAAAGGAAAACTGGGGCATTTCACTTTGGATTCTTTGGTGAAGTATTTCCTTAATTTAAAACCTACTCACATTAAGGACACATAAAGACATTGTTTGATTGTAGCTCCAAATAGCATATTGTATGACAAAACACTGGATGGTCAGAACCAGTTATTTAAGCATTAAATAAATTGTGTTTTAACTCTGAAACTGTGTGATCTCTTTAGGCTTGAGAGTCTGTATATGCAGTGTCGAATAGAATTGTTTTCACTAGCTCACTGACAAAGTTTTATTTTACACACTTTACATGACATTAGGAATTTATGTATCAGTTTTCATTAGATGCCCATGTAGTTAAAGTGTGGTGTTCTACTGCTGCGATGGCTCAGTATGCTGATGTCTATGCTGTGGACATGAAAACTATGTAACTTTTTTTTTTCAGTTTTTTTGGGTGGGAGTATTAAAGGAAGTCAGATAGGGTGCTGTACCACATCCCCTTGTACTACTATGTCAATCAGGGGGTAGAGGATACTTTGATATGGTTGAAGTATCAATTTTGTTAATTTTCTTTGATATGTGTTTTCACCTGAGCAGATTTTTTGATGTACAATTCTTACTAACAGAGTGAAGCCATTGAAATATAACTATTCTAGCACTTTGGTTATTCAAGGTCTTTTAGAGGCTATAACAGCAATGATGCCATCACAAATGTTTCAAACGTCTTTAAAAAAAATCTACCTAAAAACTCCAAAAAAAACAAAACAATAAAATGCAGTGATTTTGCAGTACAGTTGTTTCTCTTCTTATCTTTGTGTCCTTGAATGTTTTTTCTTTAATTATTATTATTATGTAAGTTGCACGGTGGCAGTGATCAGTAGTGATGTCGTGGGAGTTACTGCCAAAATTATGTGTTTCTCCTCACCTAAGTGTCCTTGAGCGCCAGGCAGCAACACTTTCTCCTTCCAGCTGATGGAAAAAATGTAAACTGTACCGTAGACATTTCATAGCACCATCTCTCATGCCTTAGCCTTATGATTTTTTTAACATAATAAAGCTCAAGTTCAATATTGGATGCCAAAGATGGTAAGATAATGCAGTAGCAATAACATTAACACGTGTTAGTTCCTACATTAAAACACAATAAAGGTAAAATGAGTAACACTGATGATTTTCTTACAGTGCAATTCATATGGATCTTACTTTGTAACAATATTTAGTTTGATGTACCACTCGTCTAAATGCTGTTGAAGACCGGGCACATCCCAGTCCCTGAAGGTAATGGCCACAGCAAAAAACCTGCAAGCCCAGAGGTTCTTTGTCAGTACCCTGTTTGGACAGACCTGTTTTGGCATGTGAGGAAACCACACATTCGTAGGCAGATGGTTTTAATGTTGTTGCTAAAAGACATAAATGCCAGTGAGTTTGTCCAGTAAGCATGATCATCTTTAATACGTGGTGGAACACAAAAGAAAAACACTGTGCCGCCTACTGATTCATTAGTGTTTAAAGCAGTTCTTCCCACATCATCCTGTGACCATGACTACAGTTGCAAGATTATCCCAAGAAAACGCACAACCTGCTACACCTACTTTATGCTTCTTTGATTTAAAGATGAGCATTGTTTAAAATAATCCACAGATTACATTAGACACCACTGCTGTGGAGCAAGCTGAAAAATCAACCCCCCTCTTTGTAATGAAATGTGACACAGAACCTGGAGCTTCCATGTATCTGGGATGAGATTCGCCTTTTTTTGGGGGGGGGGCCTTTATAAAAACCTGTTTGGGTACAATTAGGTCTCTCGTCCACTGCATACTGGCTAATTCTTCTCTGGATCTTCAGCGATGGATCCACAATGGAGGATTTCCATTGCAGAATATAGCAAATTCTCTCATTGGAAAAAATGACCTTCACCTTACATTTAAATTGTTACATTTTTGTTCACTATCTGAGTTGACTAACTCTCACCATGGACTTATTGTGTGAGGGCATTTTGGCTGGTGGGAGGACGTGGGTCTCCGCTTTGCTGTGTGTATCTGTAGAATGGGCATAACAGGTTCGTTTTAGTTTGTAGTGTTGGCTTGGCAATTTTCCCTTAAAAAAAACATGAGCAACACTGACAATGTAAGGCATGATTGGTCTGTATGGACCATTTTCTGAAAGCCTGAACATAAAAAGATGTATACGGTGCTGTGAAAACATCTTTGCCCCATTCCTGAATTCTTATCTTTTTGCACATTCCTCACACTTAAGTGTTTCAGAAAATCAAACAGATTTTAATGTTAAAAAGATAACCTGAGTGAACACAAAATGCAGTTATTAAACGATGATTTCATTTATTAAGGAGCTACAGAAGCTCAAAGACGCAGGCGAAACAAGGTCATTGCCATCTATCAGTCTGGAAATGTTCACAATGCCATTTCTAAGGTTTGGGACTCCATTGAACCACAGTGAGAGCCGACATCCACAGATGGAGAACACTTGGGACAGTAGTGCACCTTCCCAGGAATTGGGCAAATTACCAGAATTCGCCGAATCGATGACTCAACCATGTCATCATAAAAGAACCAGAACAACACCTAAGGAACTTCTGGAAGGTCTGTATCTCATTACAACTCTACCAGAAAATCCAGAAGGAGAATGTCTGGCCATCAGTCTATGCACTTGCACATGCACTTGGGTTATACAGAAGAACAATGATCCAAAATACACCAGCAAGTCCACCTCTTAATGGCTCCAAAAAACACAATGAGAGTTTTGGAGCAGCCTAGTCAAAATCTGGAATTAAATCTGATCGAGATACTTCGGCACTACTCTGGTTATCTTTGTCTAATATTAAAGCATATTTGATGATCTGAAACATGTAAGAGTGAAAAATATACAAAAAGAAAGAAATCCAGAAGGCCGGGAAATATTATTTCACAGTATTGTATAAAATTAGCATAATGTCATATTGTCAACACAACAGCTGACAAGTAAACACTGTATAAGTAGGGTTATACAGTGTTTACTTGAAGGATGTTGTCGTGTTAGGCATAAAACGTGGTTTAGGGTGCGGTGTTGTGTCTTAAGTTTCCCATTTTGCTGGCAATCCTGTCTCGGATTGGGTTTCCAAAGATGCATTTCATGTTATGGGTGTATTAGGTAGTACTGGAGACATCCTGCTGGGGGTGCTATACCGTTAGGCGGGTGCAAGGTCACGCAGTGTACCATTCTGCTGTCTGCGCTCCTCAAACGCTGCAGCTGCCGTCGTCTTCTCTTCTCCACCACACACACCGTCGCACAGCCATGGCGGACAGCGCAAGCGAGAGCGACACCGATGGAGCGGGGAGCAGCTCCGCCACCCCGATGTCGTCCTCCGCTTCAAATTCGGGGAAACCGAGCATAGTCATTTCACAGTTTCGTTTGGAGGAACTGACCAACCGACTGGCCTCGTTACAGCAGGAGAATAAAGTTCTTAAAATTGAGCTGGAAACATTTAAACTCAAGTGCAAAGCCCTGCAGGAGGAGAATCGGGACCTCCGCAAAGCTAGCGTCACCATTGTGAGTAATGTTAGCTAGCTAACTAGCGAGATGCTATCCCCACCCCGTTTGCTGTTTTGCATTTGACAGAGTAAGTTAGCGCTAGCGAGTGTTGTTTGATAAAAGCTGAATGAGTGCTACGTGGAAATGTTACCTGAATTCGGCCCTAATTCTTTGCTGTTATGTTAGCCCTACTAACATTAGCTACCTGTTAATTTAGCCAGCGGGACAACGTCTGCTAGATGGTCGAGCTGCGATATCTTGCTACTTTGCTTTGTGTTATTTTGTGTTGCTAATCGTGGCTAACGTTAGATGAACTGCTAACGTCAACCAGAAAAAAACGTCAAAAAATTGGGTGGGCACCTCACGATGCGAGTTAACAGATTGATTGTAGATGTGTGGTCAGCTGATTACTCACTGCTCGGCATTGTCACCACGCTATGGCCAACATGGATATGGTAACTGAGTGAAAATAAATAGCCCACCAGAAGCCTTGGCACCGACTGATGCGTCATATTTCTTCATGCTCGGTTAATCAGTCCTAGCTTCATAAAAATGTGTAACCGATCTGCTTGATAGATGGGAAATATGTAGGCCAAACTTAGCGAGCTAGCTAAATGCCACGCTCTAAACGTCTGCAAACCCAACCACACTTTCACACTGTCCACCCTCTGTGTAAATTTGTGAAGCTTAACTAGCTGTTTGGCTTTTATAATCCGCGCTGTTTTTCATAACGGCCAACGAAGCAGAATTTATTTTTGAGGTCAGGAGAGAATAAGGGATGGGTGAATTTGAGAGTGGCAAGGACGCATGTATCACAAGCAGTGTAATGCTAGCTGTCCCAACACATTTCTTTATCCGCCCCCCCAGCCCATGTTTCTCTCAGTCACCCATTGCTGCAATATCTCTTGAGTCATTCGAAAGAATTATGCTTCCTCTTTGGCTGGCAAGCATCACTGCAGCAGTCTTAAGTTGATTGGTGCATGTTTCCCCTCACTGTCAGTAAGTTATAGTTTAATCAGGATAAAGGTGAAAACAGTGTGATGTGCCAGAAGCAAGAGTTTATGTCACTGATATCTCCTCTGTCGCTGTGTCTTTTTGTGTTTTCTGTCCCACAGCAAGCGAGAGCCGAACAGGAGGAAGAATTTATCAGTAACACCTTGTTCAAGAAAATCCAGGCTCTTCAGAAGGAGAAGGAAACCTTGGCAGTCAACTATGAGAAGGAGGAAGAATTCCTCACCAATGAACTGTCAAGGAAACTCATGCAAGTGAGTGATAGAAACAAGATTAGATGGGGAGGTGCACACTTTTAACGCACATTTTGGAGTTCTTTACGCCACACAGAGTGGAGAATAGTGTAACATTAGTTTAAAGTTTTCCCCTGTTATCTTACTGATCACAAACGTCAGTGTGGTATATCGTTTCTTCATGCTGTGTTATGCAAATTTCTTAAGTATTGTTGCTCTTGTTCATGATGTGCGGGGTGCTTGTCTATGCACACAGCAGCTAGTGCATTATCATCAACTGCAATTCTACTTGCCTGAAGCCTGGAAAAGCTCAAGATGACTTCACTGCAGCTGCTAGCACGTCTAAATGACTCTCAAATTACTCTCCTCCTGTTGTCGGTTATTTGGTTCAGTCTGTTTTCCACATCGTATTTTCCCAACTACAGAGCATATAGCACTCGCTCTCATATTTTGAATAGATAGCTGTAGGGTGACTAATGGTTTGTTGATATCTAAAGAAGTAGGGCCGTGAAAGAGATGCATGCAAATATCTTAGCAAAACCCGCTTAAGGTCATACAGATCTACTTATTTGGGCTTTTTTTATATTCCTATCTTAGAATTTAACATGCAACAGACTTGTATCTGCCTATGTCGGTAGATTAGTTGCTTAAAAATTGGGGCGACAGATGGAAAAATCAACTGAATATCAAAACTTATAATACTGAGCATGCAAATGACTCTACGCAGAAGCATTTTGGGGACAAATTTTGTTTTATTTGGGTTTTCCCAGCCATTAGTTTTGCTCCACTTTTTAGCTGCATTGTCTGTATTTGAATAACCCAACAACACAAGCACCCCAGCCCTGATTTTAAACTTGTGCCTTGTATATTAAACATTCACATGACAATAGGCTGTGCTGAATATTATCTATTATCTTGTAAATACACCAAAAAACACCCCTGATAATGTAAAATTGAGACCTTAAAGGTGTACTGGGCTGCATACTCCTAATATCCCACCCTCTTCATTTTTGTTGATGGTACTGAAAACAACATTACCTATTTTAAAGGAAGCCGATGAAACTCTCTATTTTCCTCTAATACTTATTATTAGTGCACATGATACTAAACAGAGTCCCATCCAACATTGCCTTTGTTCTGGTGCCAGTCAGAAAGAGCCTCTGCTTACAGAAGAGCCTAGTAGAATATAATCTCTCTTCAAGGACTTCATAGTCTGGCATTTATTCTTGAGTCTGTTTATAATGTTCACACAGTATAAAGGGTTGGATTGCTTTAATAAAATAGTTTCTAGTGTTAACTGAAGCAAGGCACCTTATTAAAACAAAATGGTTAGTTTTAATTAGGAAAAAATGCCTGCACTTTGGGTGGGGCACAACTTGGTAACCTGGTTTTGCATCCAGGATACTGCAGAGCACTCGACTCTCCATGAATGGAGTCATTGTAAGTTTAAACAGACTGATGTTTTGAGGTTTTCTAGTTATTTTTCTCAACAGCATGATGGAAATGGTTATATTTCCCTCTCCATTTTTTTTTCCTTTAAGTGAATTTGCATCTCTTTCCCCATAATGAGTAATCAGTATATAATTATATAAGTATATAATATAATCCATCACAGAGCTGTCCCATTTTGAATCAGCACTGAGCCGCACCCTTTTTCATGCTGGTGAACTGCCAAAAGTGATTACTTGGGTTGCCAAAACATTATTTTATATTGTCTGTTCTTCTGGGGAGTTTACCCTGAAACCAGTGGAATTGTCTAATGACGCTGTCTTTTATTATTATTTCATTGTATAAGCCGTGGTCATCTCTGTGGTCATCAAACAGCTTTTACATGTCTCATTGTGAGTCTGTTTTTCTCCGCTCCCTTTTTACTCATCTGTTTCTTCTCTTCATCTGTCAATGCACTGCTCTCTCCTTTTAAATTTTAGCTCCAGCATGAGAAGGCTGAGTTGGAGCAGCATTTGGAGCAGGAGCAGGAGTTCCAGGTTAACAAGCTCATGAAAAAGATCAAGAAAATGGAGAACGAAACCATTTCAAAGCAGCTAACCCTGGAACAGGTATGCTTATTATGGTAAAATGGGAAAGAATTGCTCATCCAGTGCAGTGCAGCCTATCCTTAAACTTCCATTTGTTCAGTCGCCATGGTAGAGTGAGATGCAAAAAATCTCAACGTCGTTTTTCTTCCCACTGAATTTTAAGTGGAAAGAACATTTTGGTCTGTGGCTGGGTCAAACCTGCTGAAGCCACCGCATAATGTCTCCATGCCCTGACAGGAGATGTGCAGGCATTCGTTGTTGGTACTCGCTTATTAACGTGTCAGATTGATGCAGTGCGATGCCACTGTGCATCTTGGCCAGATACAAATAGAACCAAAAGTTATTTCACCTTAAAATCTGCCTCAGCTTCTTAAAGACACCAATCTTAGCAATAAAATACAAATATTTACGTTCTTAAACTACTTTAAAAAATCATTATGATATGTCATAATGCCATATGCTTCTAAGTTTTAGAATACAAACTCTGAACTGAGATCTTGGATTTGCGATACAGTGTTTTTGTACACAATCCTGAATGCTTGTGAATGCATTTCAACTTCAAGGTTTCTCTTTCTGCCACACTCTGCTTTATCTTTCGTTTTTCAGTTGAGGCGGGAGAAGATCGACCTTGAGAACACATTAGAGCAGGAACAAGAAGCTTTGGTCAACCGACTGTGGAAGCGAATGGACAAACTGGAGGCTGAGAAAAGGTGATGAGACATACTGTGCTTCTTTTTCTTTGGCCATATACATAATGATTAGATTAATTGTGGCCAAAGTTCAAAACGTTGAGGTAATCATTTTAAAACTGACTCAGCTGAATAGTTCCAAAAGAAGCTTCCAAAGTTTTTCATCTTTTATGACAAGCTAACATCGGCTTATCTTGGATTTCTTTATATGGTCTTCTATTCAGTGGGCAGATGAGTTTCCTTTGCTCTTTCCTGACAGTAAACGAATGCCTCAGTTTACTTTATTGTTGCCAACTTAGTTGCAACTCTTTTCCAGAAAGTGCCTTGTAGCACATGACACTTTTCCTTTTTTAAAAGCACACAGCTCTTCTCTTGCTCTTCTGCTATTGGTGAGAGGAGAGTGTCAAGAGAGAGAGCGACACAAGCAAGTTTATTTTCCATTTCCAGCATAAACAGAAACCAATGTAGAATCACGAGAAACGTTGTTTACATACAACGATGATTGAGTTAACCGACCAGTGAGCATAAACTTGTGGGTGAAATGTCACTAAGTCATAACAGTTGCGTGTTTCTTTTTCCAATTGTTTGTTTTTAAAAAATTTCAAGACTTTTCTTTGGGAAAAACTGCCAAAATGGTAAGGTACGCTAAATATGCCATGAACTTGATGGTTTTAGCCCAATATCTTTAAAAAGAAAAAGCCAACTACAAACTGAAATGATAGTATTAAATGGAGGGAAAAAGACTTTTACTTTTCATTTTTGACTAAATTAATTTATACATTTACTAATGGGTTAAGTACTTGTTATATGAAAGAAATATATTTGTTTGCATTGTTTTATTTTATAGTTAGTATAAAAATGTGCCAGTGTACCTTTTATATTCATTGCTTGTCTGTGTAACACAAAAAAGTAATTAGTTTATTAATTTTAACTTAAACATTAAAATCAAATAAACAGCAATAAGTAACTTTTCTTTTAAATTGCAGTTTTATGACAAATAAATAACAGTAAGCTGAACTATTAATTATCTGTTTATATATGTAATTGGGCATTTATGCAAAATGAACTTAAAGGTTATACATTTAATTAGATTTTTTTTTTTAAAACAAATAATAATAAATAGAACATTTTGAATAATAATAATAATCCTGTGTTTTGTTTTTCCAATTTTCCAAACTAGAATCCTTCAGGAGAAGCTGGACCAGCCTGTGTCGGCTCCACCATCTCCAAGAGATGTTTCCATGGAAATCGACTCACCAGAGAACATGATGCGGCATATCCGCTTCCTGAAGAATGAGGTGGAGAGGCTTAAGAAGAGCTTGCGCACCACTGAGCTGCAGCGTAAGTGGCCACTCAACTTGTCACATGATCAGAAGGAAAGTCAGTCTGAAGGGAGAGATGCCCTCAAGTGTTGATTAAGGAAGTGGTTGGTAAAATTGATTCTCGGATAAGTGCTTGTGCGTGTCCACTTGGAAAAAACAGGATACTCTCTAGTCTGGTGCCTCCATACTCATATTTCTGTAGATATGTTCTAATGCAATATACAGTCATGTTACATCATTATTTACTGGTCATATTACACTGGATGGAAAGCAGAAAAAGAAAGGAATGGAGCTGTATACTGTTAAAAAAACAAAAACAAAAAATTCAACTTTATTGTCATTGCACATGTCATAGGTACAGGGCAACGAAATGCAAGACACTAAGAAAGGTTGTAATCCATAATCGATTCCTTCTTTTGAAATGGTTAACCTGAACTCTGTTCTTAATCTAGTTGACTCTCGTTATTTTGCCCCAAAAGGAAGCAGTGTTACAAGTGGTTACGTGTGCCCTTCCTTTTATTAAAAGAAAAAGAAAAGATTGTCCATATTGGTGACTGACAACCTGTCAGAATATTACCATGAACATGTTTAATGGATGGATGTTTTCCAGATGCCACATTTTGAAGCCATAGAGTTAGTGTTCCGGTCACACCCAAAAAATATGATCACTGGATTACTTGGTTATGGTTCACGGTGATCTGACCCAGCCTTCACGGAAAGCTTTATCAAAGAGGAAGGTTTTGCATCTCGCTCAAATTTAGAGAGGGTTTTTGTCTGTATGTATACTGTGAAAAGTATTGGTCCCATCACAGAACCCTGTCGAATTCCATGACTAACTGCTGACTCGTGATATCGTCATTATCACTTAGTTTATAATTATAGGGAGTAGAGCAGGGCGATATGACCAAAAATATTTATCACGATATACATTTGAAAATTTGCAATAACGATATAACTGACGATATAATTGGCACTAGACAAAATACTTTACAACTCCTCAACTTTATTAGTGCAAAAAACCATCAATGTATTTTCACTTAAACAAGGAGCTTTTTTATGTGCATTAAAGTTATATAAAAAATTAACAAATGCAAATTCCTTGCTGACAGTTTAACCAAAAGGCATTTCCAGTGGAAATTGGCCGACATATCCTCAGCATAACCATGTATAATATCCACAAAACTTAAAAAGAGGTTATACACACACAATATGGTAATATTATGTTGAAGCACATTACGTATCACTCCGCGAGGCTCCTGTCTGCGATAGCCGTAATGCTCCGACAGTCCATCAAGCGGTGCGGGTTTGTAGCTTAGCAAAGTCGTACTGAAACATTTGACAGATTTTCGAGCGCCGTGTACCACATAAAATCGTTTCCAGGTCAGTAAACACAACCAGAATACATATATAAGGCACACGGGATTATAAGGGGCACTGTCGATTTTCAGAAAAATCAAAGGATTGATTTTAAGTGTGCCGTATTTTCCAAAAAACATGGTAATAACGACGGCCCGCTAGCATGCGCTACCAAAAATAGTGCTTTGTTGTGTATCTGACGGACGAAAGCCAAACCAGTTCCACACCACTGAAGTTACAGCATTTTTACAAAACAATTCTGGTTCATCCGTTTCATTCAACGATCCACTTTCGCTCTTCTCGTTCTGCGTCGCCGCCACGTGCGTATGTAAACAAAGGCACCGCGCATGCGCGTTTTACCCATATTCTATCGCGATATTTCATTTTCTTATTGTTGCCCAACATTACACCGGTATTACTGTGAACGGTATGATATAGCCCAGCCCTAATAGGGGAGCAGTAGGAAAACTGTGAGCAGTTAATCACAATCCAAATGATGCATGTAAAAATGCAACCAGACTTCGGATCTTGTCTCACACAAAATGATCTTGTGGATTGTTATTTTATTATTTATACATAACTGCTTGTGGCTGGAGTGATCTGGTGGTTTAATAGAGGCAGCCTTGGGCTTTAGAGCATTTGATTTATTTTATTTTTTCCTAGGATGTGGAGTAATACTAGAGCACTGCATTTGGTTGCAGACATTGATAACAGCTTGTTTTACAGCTTATTTAAAAAGTACCAACACTACATGCGATATAAGATTTT